TAGACGGAGCATTAGCTACAACTCTGGACAAGAGGGGTTCTGATATTCGGGGCGCGGAGGCACTCATATGACATCGACTCTTTCCGGTGAGATTCGGTAATATTCGGTTCACATTTCCAATCCCCATCCAGGATCATCCCCACTCCAAGTTGGAGGGGATGATTCGTTCGGCCACGCGCGCGCGCACGCTCGCACACAAGCAACGCGCCGTATATACGTGTGCACACGTATTGGAAATGTGAACCGAATATTACCGAATCTCACCGGAAAGAGTCGAAGTCAGACGAGTGATCCCCTTACCGCGATTATCAGTTACCCCTCGTACAAAGGGTCCGTCTATAGAAGTCTATGGTCCGGCCTACCGTCTCCTGCATCCTCATTCGCTCAAACGTGTAAATTAATTCCTCGATAACTATTGTTACTTTGTACCGCGGTACATGATATTTCTCCTTAGTTTAACCCAATCTACCACTATTTTCAAGGTGGCTACTTTTGCATCAGACACCCTGTATATAGCCTTTGACATCCATCTAGCGTGATGGAATGCACCCGGTTTTCTAAATTTTACTTCACTGCACGGAACTTTACTAATAAATATCTGAACAAGCTCCAAAAGTTCTCTGTAGTCTTCTCTTGGTTGTTCAGAATCAAGTTGCTTTTGGATAAATTGATTGATGTCTTCAATGTGATTTTGTATTTTGTCTTGCACATACGAGTCTTCAACGCCAGTAGAATATTGACTTTTATCAATTTCTGCCCAATGCTCTCGAAATTTTTTAAACAAAGGTACATCAGGACCTGAAGTTGTAGGTATTTTAAGTTCAAAAACATCCCTTAGAATAAGTTCAAATATGTGATGCCTGCAAGGCAAATACAGTAGTTTTTTTTCAAGCAACTGTTTAAGTAAAACTGCAGCTCCTTTATCTGATCCTAGATTTGCAGCAGTAGTATCACAGCAATGAGCTTTGATACAGTCAGGAATACCCCAATCAATAATAGCGTCAAACATTGCATCAGCTTGAGACTGTCCTGTACCATCATCTAGTACTGGGATCGCTAATATTTTTTCAATTTGTCCACAACTTAATACAACTGGTAGTCGTTCTTTATTTTTTCCACTTGAAGTTTTTAAAACTTTTCCATCCCAGTGTAGAACATTAGCATTCAAGTCTTCAGTTTTGAAAAGTTCTTTGATTTGTTTGACTTTCTCTTCACGTATTTTCTCTCTGCTTCGGCGAATAGATGATCTAGATCATTTACTATTAATGGATTTACGTCGATATTTAATGATGAACATAAAGCTACAATCAAACGTACAGCGTTACGGTCGCTTATTTTACAATGATCGAAGACCGCTACTAATATATCATCTACGATATTTATTGTCCCACGAGATTGTGTTGATTCTTGGTGCTGAGTAGTTGCCAGTTCATCGGAAAAATTTGAAATAGATGAAGATGATATTGTTTTTTGACTCAACGGATTCACTCCTTCCACTTCGCTGCTTGATGTGAATTCCACAAATTCATCTATTCAATAAACATAAAAGGTATCAAAACAAAAATTTGTGATTGAAATTAAGAGGATCCCCCAAGGCCGAGGCCTTTGATGGTGTGCGCCATCTAAACACGAAACGCAGCATATACATGAGCACACGGACACACTACTACGATACATCACACCCAGACATAAACACGAAAGTTAATTCTAGCTATACTCTTATTTTAAACATCTAATCCCAATTTAGAGGGTTTCACAGTAATTCTACATGTCATCGTATCCAGGGAAACTCAGTTTCATGTGAGTACAAGTTGTAGAACTTTTATACGAAGCACAAGTATGACGGAGTTGACAGTTCGTCTACACGGTTATATGTGATCGATATATGAATTTTGTAATTTTTACTCATTTTTGGTATCAAATTGGAGTTTCCCCGGATCATCAATGCATATACTGTAATTGTACGCAAGCATTTTTGATTCCATGAATTTAATACGACGATAGGTTAGAACTACGAATGTCGGTAAAACAGACATGCTACGGGATCCTCTTAAGATACAATCATTTTTAATAAATCAATTAAACTTTATAAATTATTTTAAAATCAATTTTACCGTATCGAGCTTTTTCTCTCTCCGATTTTTCACGACGTAGCTGTAGTAGTTCATCCTTTATTTTTTGTACTTGTTCATTATCATCAGACTCAATATTAGCTATGTAACCAACTCTACCATCTTTCCGTTGCTGAGTCAAAAAATGCATTATATATTTTCATTGACCATTAGTGCCGCATTCACATGGGCAACGTCGAATAAATTCAACAATGAAGATTTAAATTCGTCCTCTTTAATTTTATTTGAGTCTCTGTTTATCTTTTTTGAAGGAGCTGATATTGTTCATATAATTTTAATTTTATGAATATAATAATAATTTTAAACTGATCTATACAATGATCTTTTCTTTTAGTTGGTATCTGAGCTTTTTGCCAAAATACTTTAACTTCATCAATACAGATTTCAGCACTTTCACGTAATTTTAATTTAAGAATACGTATATGATAAAAAAAACTTTGAGCACTTGTAATTTTGATGGCAATTTATTACCGATAATTTGAGTGTCAACATCACCAATTAAATAAATATTTTGACGTAAAATTATTCTTGATGTCATGATAAATAAATATTTCGTTAGACAGCTCACACAGATTGTTTATTTTAATTAGAGGTTAGGTGATTTATGAATATTTTTAAGGGTCAAAGTGTTTGAGTACACAAATACTATTATAGATGGCGTAAGTGACTCAGACCATAATGCCACAAAAATTACAAACATTGTATTCGCTTATTTTGGTCATAAATAAAAAGTTTATAAGAAAAATTTGATATATTTTATGAAATAAATATTTACTTAATAATTATACTTGATAATATTAATAATTATACAGGGTGGGGAAAAAGTCCCGGACCAGTCAAATTTTTCGAAAACAAAGCATTTCTGAAAAAATGTTATATACAAAAGTTGTAGGGTTTTATCTTATGCATCAGATAGTGATATTAGTATGACCTTGAATAGCGTTGTCAAGGTCACGTGAAGGTCACATCCAATTTTTTTAATGGAACATCCCACTTTTTATTGCACATTCATGCAGCATTCTTCGAGAGCTTTCCAAAACACTGTAACAAAGTATTTTTTTATTAAGTATTTTTCGAGTTATGAAGCTTGAAAGTTATAGTACCGCCAGCATTTGCATTATTCAAGGTGTACCGCGTGGAGGTTGCACGATCGGATTTACACCTGTGTGTGTGTGTGTGTGTGTGTGTGTGTGTGTTTGTGTGTGTGTGTGTGTGTTTGTGCGTGTAGCAGCGAGATAAGGACCCCACGGTTCGTCAGTCCCGTAGTATTTATTGACTCCAAACCCTCTCTGCTGTGTGTGTGTGT